CGTGACAATTTTGTGATTATGAATGTTCAGATTGTAGATCTAATCCAAGGGTTGAGAATTGGTCTTACGGTTTTCACGAAAAACCTTTGGTTTCACATGATCCCAAGTATATATATGTATAAAATCAATAAATTAAAGGTTTAACATTATGTTGGATGTGAACATAAAATAAGACAAGGAAATTATAATGAAAAATTAGTGTAGGTTTAATTATAAATTTGGAATATCTTTTATCTAATAACATACATAGAATCTTTGACATAATTTCAAAAAAACATTTTCAAGAAAGGGACTACTATTTTGATATCGTTAATGCAATAAGCTCGAACAATGGATTTTCAAACAAGAAGAGCCGAAATTTCTCCAATTTCAAAAACATGTGTGTGGCATTAATTCAATTCTATTCCATATTGGCTGAGTACCTTATAAATGAACATATATGTTATGTCGAAACTTTCGAAAATAGCCATTGAACTGTGAAAATATGGAAGTACGTGAAACTCTTGTTTTATTGTGGTAAAACGCAATATAGAGTGTGCATGCATAAACGTATTTTATACGGATTCCTTTTACCAAATATTTATAGGAATATTATATATGTAAAAATAGAAAGATTAAAATACATAATAATCCGAAATAAAGCATATTTTTGTGAAAATAAACGTAGTAGTTAGATATGATTAGATCAACAAGTGTTTGACATTCAAATTAATTAATTTTCGTTGGAGGTTAAGTCTTATGAGAACAATTAAATTCAAATAATATGTATATATGCCAAATAATTGTGTTGTGTGGAGATATTTTTTCATTTTTGATATTGTAATTAGTACATATCAATTAAGATAGTTTTTGCTGTAACAATGTATGTTGGCGTTAAAATGGCATGTTGATTTTATGTACTAATTATATATATATATATATATATATATATATATATAGGGGCATGTTCAAATGAAAACCGTGTATTTCTAAGAAACCTGTAAACCAATTTCGACCAATAGGAAAATTCTTTTTTTTTTCTAATTATATTCAATCAATAAAGGTATTTCGGTCATTTACAATATTTTCTATTAAATATGGAAGTTATTAATAAATCTTAATTAAGGAAACGTAATAAAGAAAATTGTATAAATGATAACATTTAAATATTTAATTATATTAAAATATTAAAAATTTGGATTTCATATATTGTCATGAATTATAATCAGGAAACATGTCTTGATGAAACAATTGAATTATAGAATGAAATCATCAAAACGTAGATGAACAAAAAAAATCCACAAAATGAAACAGGTTTCATGAACGTGAAACCGGTTCATGTTGCAAAGAAATTAGGTGAATCCAAACATTTTTATGGTGAACTCGTTGCATTGATGGTGTAGTTAACCCTTTTTTTTATGAGAAGCAAAATGAAACGGTGCTTTTTGAAAAAAATTATGAAAAGAAAAATAAAACAGGTTTCATRAACGTGAAACCGGTTCATGTTGCAAATAAATTAGGTGAATCAAAACATTTTTATGGTGAAACCGTTGCATTAATGGTGTAGTTGATCCATTTTGTTGATGAAAAGGAAAATGAAACYGGTGCATTTTGAAAATAAATTATGAAAAGGAAAATGAAACAGGTTTCATGAACGTGAAACCGGGTCTTGTTGCAAATAAAATATGTGAACCGAAACATTTTCATGGTGAAATCAATTTCGTTCATATAATGTAATTCAAAATTTAAAACGATTCACTCCATATATTTGAATATGGTGTGTTATATTTATATTTTTTTGATGTTTTATTGATGGATGTGATTTAAAGTTAAAAATAATATATTGTTTTAAAAAATGAAAATAGTGTCATTAATATCGAGAATGATGTTACAAAATGTTAAATTTTATTTACCATTTTTGCCCTTACTGTTGAAATAAAATAAATTTTTAATTTTTTTTTAATTTCCTAAAATAAAATAAAGTAATCTTGGTCATTGATCAAGAAAATGGATGGATGAGATTGATTTACACGGTTTACACAAATGGGGCAGGATTTTATTTCATTAATGTTAGAGAAATACATGAAACAGTTTCATTAATGTTAGAGAAATACATGAAACAGTTTCATTAATGTTAGAGAAATACATGAAACAGTTTCATTAAGTATTATATGAAACAATTTCACAACCATATATGAAACAACTTCATCAAAAAAAGTATTATATGAAACAATTTCACAAGATTAAACAATTTCATGAAAAAATTTCATAAGATTAAACAATGAAATCGATAGATGAAGGTGGTTTGCACGGTTTACACAAATGAAGGCGGTTTTCATATGATCACTCCTATATATATATATATATATATATATATATATATATATCCATCTATATAGATAAAAAATTGATAATTGAGAAATTCAATCGACCCATTATTAATTATTTATTATACTTTAATTTAAGTAAACTTATTTTTTATATCATTTTGTTATGAAGCAAATTAATTTAAAAAAACTATACGACTAATATATATATATATATATATATATATATCTCGTGAGACTAGCCTGTTTTTTGTAAGATTCGTAAGACCATTT